CCCCAAAACCCCAAAACCCCAAAACCCCAAAACCCCAAAACCCCAACTTTATATCTAAATATTGAGTTTTCACTCCTATTCAAAATCAATATTGCTCAAATCAAACTCTGAGTCCTCATTAATTTCAGAGAGACCAACTTCTGGCTCCTTAGCATGTTTACTATTTCTTGATTCTATGGCGTTCACCTCAAATACTTACCAATAAATTGATCTAAAAGATCAAGCTCGTCTTCATCTAGATCAAAAGAGCCTATTGAAGGAGCTTTCTGTGTAGTCTGTCCTAACTTTACTTCCTCAACCTTTGGGACCAAGCTCTCATTATCATCTACTGATCTGTGAACCTGAGTTATATTAAATGCAGCAATCCCTCGAGGATCAAAGTTTCCAATGAAGCTAAATTCTTCAGTCCCGAACTCCGTAATTGCAAGGTTCATTTTCGATTCCTCAATATAATCCTGCACAGGAGATGGTGTACGAGATCTTATTTTAATATCACCTTTCATATTTTCCCATAACAACTTTTGATGCCTGGGACTAACAAGTTTTAACCTCTGTAATATCTCAACCTTGAGTTCAAAATAATCTCTTTCATCAACATATCTAGCATGGAGAAAGTTTTTCTTAATCAATCCTCAATTTAAACTAGTTTCAATAAGAAGTATCACAGAGATAGCATCAAAAGTAGTGACCTCATCTCTAAACATGAGACGAGCATGAGCTTGACCCAGTCTGATGATACTCTCGAGCATTCTGACTGTCTTCCGTTCCTTTCCAGCAATTGGACTGTGCTTGATGAAAGTAAAATACGCTTTAAACAGCTCTTCAGCTTGCTCTGAGATGCAAGGCTCGAATACCTCTTGTACTAACTTAACATATTTTCGTAATTTTTCTGTTTGCCAAAGCCTTGTGTTCTCTTTGAATCCAGTCGAGCTCCTGAATAAACAATACTCTGCTTTCATTGTATCCTCCTCAATGTTGTGCTCATCAGGGATTAGAAATATCAAATCAAATCTTGAAAGAAGAGAGGTTATTATCCCGGTAGATTTTCATAGCTCTTCACAGTCCCTACGGCTTTGAATGAAGTTTCAAGCTGCTATTATTGTTGTCCGAGTGTTAATCGTTCAAACAATACCTCCTTTAGATACACTAATCCTCTGCTGCTCCATTGCTTCATGAATTCAAGCACGATCTTCTTTATTTAATTTGCCCAAACTCATCAATGCAGCAAACCCCTGTGTCTGCAAGTACCAAAGCTCCTGCCTCTAAAACAAACTCTTTATTCTCTTTAACTCAAGTAACTGTAAGCCCGCATCCAGTTGTTCCAGTTCCATTAGTCATAACACTTCTTGGTGTTAATCTCTGTGCAAATCCTAACAATTGAGATTTCCCAGTTCCTGGGTCTCCTACATACAAAATATGTATCTTCCCTCGAACAGAATTTTTGCCTGGAATAGGGACTCCCCCAATCATTGATAAAAGCAAGCCTAGCTTTTCCTCACTACGGCCAAACAATTTCGGAGCCACTGAATCTATAAGAACATTTCTGACATAATTGACTTTGTTTCTCTTCCAAAACTCTTTAAACTCCTCTGCATCAACAGAGGAAACACCTTCATTTCCAATCTTATCCTTCTTGTTCATAATTTCAACATTATTTACATACACTCAAAGTTGGAGCTCTGGGCGAGAATCTTTGAAAGGAGGGTAAAGCCACCTCTCAATAAGGGTTCCGAAGATCTTGACATCGTCTCCTGGAAGGCATGTTTCTACTAACCCTTTTTCCAGGACCAAAGTAAGAGCTTTTGGGATATGACCTGGCTTCAGTCAAGTGAAAAGTTCTTGAATCTTTGCCTCTTGATAATCGCAGTATTTAGAGGTTCCTCTGACTTTCTCGAATTTCCAGTTCTTTCACATACCCTGGTAAGCTCCTTTACCTTTAACTGGATTTTTCACAGGCGCTGATACCATATTCTCCTTTTGAGCAGGTTCAGGCTTCTTTTTCCTGAAAAAATCAAACACGAAAGTTCTTACTTATCAATAATCTTCCTTCCTATTGTCCAAATGGGATTTTTAAGTTTTTGCAACTTTATTAGTGCATTTAGGTGGGAAGCAAAGTCGATTATTTTCCTCAATTTCGCTCTTTGCAATATATTCAGCTCCTCATCGATCGCAATTGACATTACTTTCGAGTTCTCTATTTTTAGGTTTACTCACTCTGATAATAGTTCCACTCAGAACAATAAATTTGTTCAAACTTTCATGATTAATAGATTTTACATCAGGAAGTCTGATGGGGCCAAGCTCTGGAACATTGATAAACCTCACAGATACCTAAATTTTTAACAAACTCGCTTACTTTCTCCTTGATAGTTAGTCTGAACAATGAGTCTGAAGTCAAATCTTCTTGAAATTTCTTTTGTATATTCATCACAGTCTCCTCTAAGCTGCTAATCAGCTTTAATGAACTTGTATAAAATACTTGACCAACTTCAGGGAATTCATAAATTAAAAGAGTGAGGTCAATGAATAAATCATAGTCCTTTTCTTTAACTTCTTTTGCCATTATAATTTTTATGTCAGACTCTACACGAATTCATGATGGAATAGCTTCTTACCATGGTTATTGATGAGATAGGTGGCATATTGATCCATTTTGTGCAATTTTTAGATTTATTATTTCATTATAACAAATATTGAATGGGGTTTTGGGGTTTTGGGGTTTTGGGGTTTTGGGGTTTTGGGG